GGAAGCAGATTGAAAAAACTTAGGGATGGAGGGAGGTGGAGAGCCATGATCGCCTACGCCCTGAAAGGACATGGTGCATAAAAAGAAAGAAAGAATAGTGGTTAAATGACAGCAGTTTTGTTTTAGAAACGTTAAAATGTACAAGCCATTTCTTGCCACAGTTAATCACTGATTGGGGGTTCTTTTGAAGATTTGCGGCCAGGTTTACTTTAGCAAAGTAATTTATTTTTCGCTGTTCAGTGTTGTATCGATTTTTATCAATTTTCTGTTACGATTCATTGGATGTAGCTCCAAGCCATTAAATCCACACCCCGAATATTACTTCCTTTTATTTATATACTTCGAATGGAAACGTGACCGAGAGGTTCGAACGTTCGCTTTCTAACCAGGAGACCCGGGTTTGAATCTCACCATGGTCGATTTGTTAGGAAGGTTAGTTCTTGATGTCATCGTTCTGGAGAAGGCGATACACCTCTGGAAAGTGCATGAAAAGTCGTACGAGGGGTGAGTGAAATCGGAACTCATTGGGGTGACGTTGATGGCTGGGTTAGCAAGGGTGAGGTTATAAGCGTGCCGGCCTTGTTCAGATCTCACGCTGTCTCTCCCAGAAATTGTAACTAATGTCCGCTCAGAATAGTTACAGGAGGGCTCTGCGAGTGTTGAACAAACACAAATATGCCTGAGCGGGCGTCTGCAATAGGGATTGGCTAGCCACCCAAGTAGATGGGTATCCTCGGATACGAGTGGTCAGTTTTCTTCTATTTTGTGGCGTCTTTAGTACCAATTGGTCAACTGGCTTAATTTCTTACATGGGAATTCAGATTTATATTGTTTTCATTACTATATATCACTTTTGCCCATTTTCCTTTATCCTAGAATAGATATTCTTTCTGTATTTTCGTTTTAATTGATGTTTCTTTTCTTGTTTTATTAATGACTAGCAGTAGAGCTCGGTGTTGCCCGGGGATGTAACAGTAAGAGATAGATCAAGTATCGACCATCATAAAGACTGAAAAATAAAATTGACAAAGATTATTGTTTAAGGTTGACGGACACGCATGTCTTAATTAGTTTTTTTTTTTTTTTACGAATTGGTCAAACCCAAACTCAAACAAAACATTATTTTTTCAATCGTTATGAGTCTACCGATTGAATAGAATTTTATTATAAACAATTGTCTTGTAAATGAAATTTTTAAAGCATTCTGAATGTAAAAATAAAGAAAAAAGTGTGCAAGACAATAAGAAACACTACCTGCCAAAAAAAAAGTGAAGTTTTGTTGAAATCGATTGAAAAATGTAGGAAATCCGATCCCATATATAAACGAACACACACACACACACACACACACACACACACACACACACACACAAACAAACAAACAAACAACCTGGGTTTTATAATAAGTATAACTCGATATGAGTTGTCTCCCTTTCATTAATGCCTCTGAATCGTGTTTTCAAATTGATTTCGTGCAAAAACAATTGTGTTTTCCCCATTTTTGGCACTGTCAGAACCACCGCAAGGTAATTTTACGTAGTCATGTGAAGTTTTGTTGAAATCGGTTGAAAAATGTAGGAAATCCGATCCAATATATAAACGAACAGATGATTTTTTGTTTTTGTTTTTTGGGTGGAGGGTTGTTTTTTTTTTTTTGGTTTGTTTTGTTTTTGCAAGGCATCCATTTAGATAAATTTTATGTAACATCTTTCTTGCAGTATGAATTGACATTTCCGTAGTAATCGCTCTGCTTTTACCTCTTATTAGACGAGCTGTTAACTTTTGGTTTGAAACTGTCAGCGCCACGAGATTTCGTTTATATCTTTGTCTAATTTTGGATTGTCGGGACGTGGGTGGGCAGGAGTCTTAGGAAAGGAAGAAAAACTGCTATGAGCCACATGGTATAGGAAGCTGTGGAGAGCCATGATCGACTATGCCTTGAAGGGACGGAGCACAAAGAAGAAGAAGAAATGATGTGAAAAAGAGAATCTGTCAAGAAGAAGAAAAAAAGAATTATTATTTTCATATCCAAAATCCTCTCAACATCAACCAATTTTTTAATATTCAAATCGCTTCCAAAATTCTTGTAATTTAAAAATATTTTCTGGCTTTAAATAACCTGCAAAATGTTGATAGACCATAAAAAACAAATCAGCCAACTGAATTTTAATTTTTGATATATATTTTGGATTCTTTGTTAGAATTCAGTGATATAAGATTGCAAATTCATTTCTATTTTAATTTCATTACTATATATCGTTAATTTCCCAATGTTTTCTTTATTTCATAAGAAATGCTCCATTGCCCGACAGTTTCGTCTCATTCGATGGCATTTTTTGCTGTAATACGTCCATCTAGATAACATTTTTACGTAACATCTTTCTTTCTATACGAATTGACACTTCACTAGTAATGCTGCTTTATAAAAACAAGGACTTTTTATCACTTTTATCTAATGTCTTTGAGTCTTTTTCATATTCAAAACGGTCCCAAGACAGATATACTTCATCTAAATGACTGGAGACATCAGGCCTTGATTTTCTGAACTCTTTAGCGATTCCGTGTTGATTTATTCTCTGTGACATTTCGATAATTTTCATCCTCTCCTCCAAAAACCATTCTTCCTATTTTGGAACAGATAAAAATACGAAATGAACGCTCCAGACTTTAGGCAACCTGTATTCTGTGTTCACGTGAATGCGATAATTTGTATTGGTTAACAGTAGATACTGCCAAATTCTTATTCAAAATTAAGCAAATCTGTGCTCAGCCTATTCATGCATATCTATCTATCTATCTATCTATCTATCTATCTATCTATCTATCTATCTATCTATCTATCTATCTATCTATCTATCTCTGTTGATTATCTATCTAAGCTTATTCATATCTATCTACCTATGTTAGCCTGTTCAGATCTATCTATCTATCTATCTATCTATCTATCTATCTATCTATCTATCTATCTATCTATCTTTTGGTTTGTTCATATCCCTCTATCTATTTATTTATATCAATCTGTTATAAGAGAAATCAAAGAGAAAAAGGATAAATAGACGAGCAAGAAGGAGAGTCAATCTGACAGAGAGAACGAGACAGATAGATAGATAGATAGATAGATAGATAGATAGATAGATAGATAGAGAGAGAGATCGAGAGATAGAGAGAGAGAGAGAACGAATCGAAGAGAGGGTTAGAGATCGTCATAGAGAAACTGAGAAAAGCAGAGAAATGTGATAAACCCGCAGATCAAAGGAGAGAGAGAGAAAATGGCGACAGGAAAGAAAAATGGATGGAAGGCAAAAATAGGAAATAGAGAGAGAGAGAGAGAAAGAGAGAGAGAGAGAGAGAGAGAGGGAGAAGACAAATGAAGAGAAAATCTGAGTTGAATTCACGGAAGAAAACATTTTCTCTTCGAGGAAGAAAGAGATAAAATTCATTCAGTCCAGGTTCTCTACTTCGATCCATCAGTTCCAGTTTTGATCGATCAATTTAAAAAGAAATATGTCTTTATTTCGTTATTCATAGGCCTTTGATTATTCATATCTATCTATCTATCTATCTATCTATCTATCTATCTAATGTCTGTTCATATATATCTAGATCTTTTGATCTGTTCGTATCTATCTATCCACCTATCTTTCTGTTCACATGTATCTTTTTCATTCTCTTCTATCTATCTATCTATCTATCTATCTATCTATCTATCTATCTACTCCATTCTGTTCATATCTATCTACTCATATCTATGTCCAAATCTATGTTCAAATCTATCTATCGATTTATCTATCTCAGTCTGAAATACATAGCTCTCACTCTCTCTCTCTTTCTCTCTTTTTCTCTTTGTTTACCGTTCATTATCTATCTATCTATCTATCTATCTATCTATCTATCTATCTATCTATCTCTGTTCACATCTATTTCATTCCGTTGGAATATTTTTCTCTCTCTCTACGTCTTTCTCTCTTTCTCTCTATTTTTCTCAGTCTGTTTCTATCTATCTATCTATCTATCTATCTATCTATCTATCTATCTATCTATCTATCTATCTCACCATGTTCAGATCTATCTATCTATCTATCTATCTATCTATCTATCTATCTATCTATCTATATTCACATCCATCTCATTCTTTTAAAATATTTCTCTCTATGTCTCTCTCTCTCTCTCTCTCTATCTCGTTCTGTTTATTTCTATCTATCTATCTATCTATCTATCTATCTATCTATCTATCTATCTTGCCGACGACATTTCGCGACTACTCCGTTTCGTTGGATTTATTTAATTGTTCCAAATTTCCATCCTCCTACCCTAGTTTTCCTTCTTCGACACACACACACACACATGTAATAATCTATCAAATCCCAGATTCCACCTATCTTAATTCTTTTTTCTTCCATCGGAAAAGAAACCCCGCCCACATTCCTCCACACACCTTTCACAGTCTTCTTCTGTCGCCATCTTAATTTTTTGTCTTTCGTCTTATTACAGTCCCCACTAATCCGATACCCCGACACTCTTTTACTCTTCCCTCATGCTTTGGAGAGACCTCTCCAACAACACAGCTCATTTTTGTCTCACCATGTATCGAACTGCGCATGCGCTCAGCAGCAGTTGTAAGTGATAGTGCGTCATGTTATTTTTATCGTTATTGATTTAGTTTCTCTTTCAATTCACTTTCCCCTGCCTCTCTAGGCATCTGCGCATTTGTTACTGCTAAACTAGAGAAGACTAGTCGACGGGCCGTCATGCTAGATCCATTGAATTAGGTGCAGCGTTAGTGCAAGACAGTAAATGATGACGGAAAATCATTTTAAGCGCCAATGAGAGGTCTTCTTTTTCTTTTTCCTTTTTTTTTCTTTTTTTTCTTTTCAACAAAGCAGAGTTAATGTAGAATGAACTAATCTGTCGACTGCAACCACTGAAAATTTGCCTGTGAGCCAATCCTCTTTTGTCCACTTTGTCTTCTGTTCTTCCATCATGTTGATTTCTACACTTGAATGAACTCCTCTTTCTTTTACAAATCTCTTTCTCCTCCTCTTTTTCCAATATTTCTTTGTTGTGCCTATCATTCGCCCTCTTTATATCTCCTCCTCTTCTTCTTCTTCTTCTTTGACATTCGTTAAGCCGAACTTTGGCCAATTAGGCCGAATTCACGAATATTGTGTTTCTTCTTCTTCTTCTTCTAATTCTTCTTCTTCTTCTTCTTCTTCTTCTTTTTGACTGATTCTCTTTTTCAAATCATTTCTCCTCTTCCTCCTTTTTCTTTTTCTCTCTTCCCCTTCATTTTTTCTTTTTATTGTTGTTCTTCTTGACTGTCAGCAATTTTTTCTTCTTCTTCGTCTTCTTTTTCTTTTTCGCTTTCTTGACTGTCTCTTTTCTCCCCCTTTCTTCTTGACTGTCTCTTTTCTCCCCCTTTCTTCTTGACTGTCTCTTTTTCACTACATTTCTTCTTCTTCTTCTTCTTCTTCTTCTTCTTCTTCTTCTTCTTCTTCTTCTTCTTCTTCTTCTTCTTCTTCTCCGCTTTCTTGACTGTCTCTTTTCTCCTCCTTTCTTCTTAACTGTCTCTTTTTCACTAAATTTCTTCTTCTTCTTCTTCTTCTTCTTCTTCTTCTTCTCTATCTGCTCATCTTCCCTTTCTCTTCTTAACTCTCTTCCTCATTTTCCTTCTTTTTCCTCCTCCTCCTTCTCCTCGTTTTTTAACCTTCTCTTCATTATTGCTTTCTTTTTCATCTCCCCCTCTTTCTCTTCAATTCTTTTATTTCTCTCCATAGTTTATCTATTCCACTCTCTCTCTCTCTCTCCAATATCTTTAAGTGATTGTCATCCTTACTCTCATATCTCTCCTCCTCCTTGTCATGATCCTCATCCTCTTCCTTCCTCTTGAAATTCTTCTTCTTCTCTCTCCCCACCCCTCTCTCTCTCCTTTCCTCGTCGTCTTTGTCAGAAGCCCAGCTTCTATAACCATTTCCTAACTATTATTAGCCATTAAAATTCTTTTCTCAGGCAAACAATCTGTCTCACGCGCTATGGTCTCTCTTTTAATTACCTACTATGATTTTTACTCTCTCTTATCTTTCTTTTCCCTTTTCCTTCTATATTTCCAACTGATCTACTTACGCCTTCTCTTCTATTTCATTCTTTTTTTTCCTTCTTTTCTTCTTCTTCTTCTTCTTCTTCTTCTTCTTCTTCTTCTTCTTCTTCTTCTGTTATCTCTTTCATCATTTGAACACTTTTAAGTCGTTTCTTTCTTTCTTTTTTTAAATTGGGAATCCAGCCCGTAGAATGTTTTCTCTATTTATACGCGCCTTAACTGTTTTTCTCTCTCTTATTTCTTACTTTTCCTCACCGCCTCCTCGTTTTCCTCACACATCACTCTCCTCCTCCCGCCACGAGGATTGACGACTTTTGCATTTTTTCTATATATTCCCTTTTTCCTCTTTCTTTTGCGTAATTCACCCCCTCTTTACTTCGTAATCTTTTTTTTCCCACCACCGATCCTTCCCTCCTACTATCCCTCATTCATTGACCGCTTCGTTTTCTTTCTTATCACTTCTCCCCTCTTCTAAAGTCTCCCCCTCTTTTCTTTTTATCTTCTTTTTTATTCTGGTAATGAACAGTTTTTATTTAGCATTTCTTCTTCTTCTTCTTCTCCTTCTTCTTTCGTTTTCTTCTTCTTCTGCTTCTTCTTATTCTTCTTTTCTGTTTTTTCTTCTTGTTCTTTTTCTGTTTCTTCTTCTTCTTCTTCTTCTTCTTCTTCTTCTTCTTCTTCTTCTTCTTCTTCTTCTGTCTGTCTTTTTTCTTTTCCTTTTTCCTCGTGAAACCCTCATTTTTGCATATCCCCGTCATATATTCAAAATCTAGTCTTTACTACACAAGTATCCAAGCTACCATTTTTCTCCTGCTAAATTTCCATGCATTCAACATTTTTTTTATCCTCCTTTCTTCTTCATCTTCTTTCCCTCTCAGGTTATTTTTTATTTATTTATTTTTTTTTATTTTTTACTTTCATCAATTTCTTTATTTCGCCCGCGTTGTCCTTGTCCATTGGAAATCTATTCTCTAACGACGATGTCTTCTCCTCCCGGACAACTCCGACAAAACCTTCCTTGAATAAAATTCCAAAAAAAAGAAAATAGACAAAAACTCAATTCTCTTTTATTTATATAAATCTGCGGTTTAGGCTTGACGTGTGAATTTGAATATGACGTCACAGACGTGATTCTTAAACAGCAGATTTGCATTCGGAAAATGTCGTCTGCTTTTAGATTTGCTTGTTGGCGTTGATATACAGTTTCTTTCTATTCAAAGATATTTGCAGGCGTAATGCTAAAACATTTCGTCACTCAGCAGTTTCACACAATCGACAGCCATTGATCAACATTCGATTTTTAAGATTGTTATTAGGATTGATTGATATTTTTATTTTATGAGAATCTTTTTTTTATTATTTCATTCACTGTGGGTAGAACATGAATCATCAGTAATGCTTTTTCTCCATTGCGAACCGCAGACATTAGGCGATGATTAGTTATTGAGAGCTTGATTCTCAGAACATACCTAGAGACTGGCATTTCAGTTTTGGACAAAACGAATCAATTTTATGCGCTGTTAATTAGTTAACTTGCATCTCCCTAGTCGAACGGCAAAAAGTCAAAAACTACCATTTGGAACCTAAACCTTTTATCTGGGATAAAATGATTCCTACTGATAGATAGATAGATAAATAGATAGATAGGAACAAGTGGGGCTATATATATATATATATATATATATATATATATAGATAGATAGATAGATAGATAGATAGAAAGGAAGAAAGAAAATTGAATTAGATAGATAGATAGATAGATAGATAGATAGATAGATAGATTCATTAACAGCTGATCTAAAAATGACTTACAATCCGTTGTTAACCGGGGCGATAAATGGTGTGTTAATTTTGGCACCTTCAAAACAAAACAGTTCGTTATTAACCGTCTGAGAGAAACTTTTTTTGCCTTCCCTCAGCATGGCTGATGCTAACCTCCAGGAGATCGAGGCATTGCACCTTCTCCAGCTAACGTGTTTCGCTCACATGAATTGGAAAGATTGTTAGGGGTACTGCTAGGAAAGTTGGATCATTGTTCCCTACCAGAAAAAATTTTGTCGTCAATATCCATCTTGCAGATACATAAATCTACAACTCGTCCGTGCATTGAATACTGCCGCTATATCTCGTCTGGTGATCCTGTTGTGTATCACGAGATTCTTCATTAAATTCCAAGACGAGTCTGTAATATTATGGGTCCTGACCTGGCATCTCCACATCACTCACTTTCTCACCGACGTAATGTGGCTTCCCTTTGTCTTTTTTACACATATTTTCATGGCAACTGTTCTGATGAGCTTTTTCCCCTAGTGCCCCGACTGCATGCATTTAAACGTGCTACTAGAGTGGCAATTAGGTCTCACATTTTTACTGTTAAACTAGCTAGATGCAACCACCTCTTCTATTCTAAGTTTTTCTTTACTCACCTATGGAACTCCTTTCTGATTTCTAGATTCCCTGTTACTTTAAAAAATTCAATGCAACGTCTTGTGTTTTCCTGAAACCTCTTCCTTTATTGTCCATTCCTTACTAAGGTCTTCTCGTTCTCTTTCACTCTCAGTAACCCCCTGCATCCTAGTGGCATTATCACCTTATTTGAATAAACCATTTTCCCGAAAAACTATTTATAAAAGAAAGATTTTATAAATTTCAATCGACAGGAATGGCATTTGGTCCGTAAACGCTGAATTTTTCCTTATAAGGTGACAGATACTGTCACTATTATTATTACCATATAATTTGACCATGGTTGCTTGTGTGATGATGTAACTCTGAGCGTCACTGCACAAGCTGTGATGACATCCAAGATAGGCTGTATGCGAATACACCGATGCTCGCTATGTTCCACAGATTCGTCTCAATATTAGGGCCGTGATTGCCGTCAATAAAACAATAGCGAAAAATGCTTTGCAAGACACTTATTGAGTCGGGAAGTGGCAAAAACAATACAGTTCCTCATTTAGTCGACAATGTCTTCTTTCTACTACAAGAAAGCGAACTTCTTCTGACTTCTGGCTAGTTCCGGCCACGAAAAACGGAACTCTACGAACTCACTGCCTGACCGTTTCATTGACAACTCTTTATATGGATAATGTATGGCGAACCAATGAACCATTTCCGTCCATTCGTATTCCACCAACTGAAAATGGAGATCACCTAGACAGGTTTTGGATAGACAGTATTTCAAAGGTTTAAAGGCTCTCTAAAAACTCTAACATAACTTTATATTTGACGATTCAAAGGTGGGTGGAGACAGGATTCCTGAAAAACCGTGGTCATTAAATCTACTCAAGATGGGCTAGACACAAGATTCCTGAGAAACCGTGGTAATTAAACTGACTTAAAAGGAAAACATCTATTCATATCCTAAGGATGTGTGGGAAATCGTATTGTTACATTTGTGTATGTAATACACCAAAGTTGCATATACTCGTTCTTGTTCATCTGTCCATTGCTTGTATCTTTGCTTTTGTCCAGTTCAAGATGATTGCTCTGAATCTCTCTACTGCCACAGGTCAAGCATTGATTGCTACAATTTCTGCCATTTAATTTCATATTTCAAAAGTTCTTTCTAATGAAATATTCCAAATGATCTTCATTGCAACCTGCAAAGATAAAATTCCAAAGATTCACATTCACTTTCAACACAATATATACTGATCAATTTATTCTTAATTGAGATGTATGATTAGTAGTTAGTATGATTGATTTGTTTTTTACGGCCTATCAACTTTTTGGAATTAGTATGATTGATTAGTTTTTTACGGCTTATCAACCTTTTGGAATTAGGATGATTGATTTGTTTTTACGGTTTATCAACCTTTTGGAATTAGAATGATTGATTTGTTTTGTTTACGGCATCAACTAAATATATTTTGCATGCAATGTTATGCCTTCACCTACTGATAAAATGTATTGTTTTTTTCATTTTGCTTTAAAAATGTATTGTTCGTAATTTTTTCATACAGAAATGTATTGCTATTATTTTTACTATTAAAATATGTTTTTATGCTTTCATAGTGTTTTGTTTTTGTTCGTGGGGGGTCACTATTTTCCCATATCTGAGACCCCTAACAGGTGCTATCATCCGGGTCAAGGTTTACTTGGGAGCAACAGCAGTTAAAAACTTGTTCGACACTCCTCAAAATCTCAATCTCCTGATCAGAGGCCTTGCTATGTAGTTTACCGTTATACCAGGGACTTAGTCGGATATTATATATATATATATATATATATATATATATATATATATATATATATATATATATATATATGAATGAATGAGATAACGATATATGTATTTTTATATATCAAGAAGAATATCGGGATATGACATGTATAAGAGAGTGGAAAAAGTTTTGTAACGCGTCGCATAAAAACTTTGTCATATATTTTTAAAATAATATATATATATATATATATATATATATATATATATATATATATATATATATATATATATATATATCCTAGCATTTAAGCTAGCTCCTGCTGAGGGCTCTTGATTGGACTTTCATCATAATAGGTAGGGAGGAGTAGATGCAATAGGTAACACTAAATTACTAAACTCAAAATTGATCGCTGCATTTAAATATTGCATTAATGTTTAAGCTTACTTTTTAAAAGTTCCACGATAATTCTTCTGCTGCCATCTAACTTTTGATAGTTTGGTGTACGTAGGTCCTTACTTTCCGTACAAACAATTATTTTTATTTCATGGGTGACTTTCGCTGGATTTCATAATTAATTTCGATTATTCCCAAATTCATTTCCAAATTATAAAAATTGTTATCGTACAAAGAATTCGTCGCAAAAATCACGTTAAAAATCGCTGAAAACAATTGCAGTAATGGAAACTTAGGAATCCCAAATTTCAGAATTGCCGGTTCAGATCCGGCCTATCGGAATAAAGTTGAAATCACGGACAATTTTATTTTGAAACACTGTAATTTGAGAACAGTAATTTTTTTCATTTGAACATGAGCTATTGAAAGTTAGGGAGTTGTGTCCCTTTAATTGTTTTCATCAGTAGAAGCCAATATGTTGGATTCCGAAATCAATTGCAGTAATGAATTATTTTTGTAATAAAATAGAAAAAGGAGGCAACCGAAGATCAAACATATTTAAGGTAAATAAAGCTCTTCGTAAGGTGTACTTGTGAGTACAGTTTTTTGTATTTTTTTATGGCATGTCAATAAGAAAGCACATTCTATTTGTGTAGTCTTTGATCAAGATGTCTGTGTGATTAGGTTTGATTTTTCTGACTGTGTGTATTGTAATAAAATTATTACAGTTCCTATCTCTATAACCGGATCTGGGTGATGATTATTATTATTCACCTTCGGATTTCAGTGCCACACTTTTCATCCTCTCTCAAAACACTTTCCAGATATTTAAATTGTTTGTATTTATTTGATTTTGGTATCTCCAATTTGTCATATGTATTGTTCTTTTTGCAGAGTCGAGCCAATTCGTTCCTATTTTACTATTGAACGAGATTGATATAACCGTCTGTTCTATTCGAAGAGTTTCTTTTCTCGCACTTTATACCTGTGGAACTCTCTTCCGGTTTCTTGCATCCCCGCCACTTATAAACTTCAAAAATTCAAATGTATCTCCAATCGCCATCTCTTTACTTTCATGAAACCTGAATCCTGAAGCGTCGACACGCTTTCCACGCCCGGATTCCATAGACAGGCTAACTTGCACGTGGTGGTGGGGCCGAGTAAA